CCCCACTTACCTCCATTTTTTTTCTTTGAATTCCGTTGACTTTTACTAGTATACGGTCAAAATCTCTTTACCTAGAAAGCTTCCCAGAAATTGTTTAGCTTTAGATGCTTCCATTTGATTCACTCCTCCAACCCTGCGCTTTCTTTTGAGTATGACTTAACCCCTCCCGGGACGACTACGACGATTTCCTTCGAATAACGACAGCTCGGGAGACAACGGCCAGACGGTGAGTGACTCACGGTAGACTTCTCGGAACTCCAGCGCGGGCCGGGGTCGGGGCGGGTGAGCAATCCGCGACGCGTGGAGCGGAGGAGGGGGCCCGGGCCCATTCATAAAATTCGCATAACAAACGCGCGTATTTAGCAAGGTCGAGCCGCGAGCAGCTACGCCATTGCACATTTAATTAGTGGGCTATAGTTGGTTCGGAATTTCGGACGCCCTTGCCAAACAGGGCCCAGGAGCGACGATGGGCCCGAGCATCGAAATCTCCGTCGAAATTATGAAATGATGTCGTCCTTGAGGTTTTCGCGGGGGAGAACTAAACGTGACAACGTGACATGAAATGACGTGGCGCCGGAGATCCATAACATCCTCCAACATAGAGACGCTCGTAAGGTGCCCCCTCCCCCCTTTCCTTCTTATTATTCTTTTATATTTTTTATTTGAAGTAAGTTCAAGAAAAAGACGATTTTTCGCTAATTGAGTGGTGGATTTGGAACACAAATATCCGGCCTTGCAGGGGAGACACGTCGTAACTGGGTTTCCTCTGAATTTTCGGACGCGCTAGCTAATATTGCGAATGAAATCCTTTAAAAGTTTCATAGGAAAACAATGTACGGGAGAGAGGCCCGTCAGACTAGTTCATGGAGTACATTGTGAGCGTACTGTTAACGGGAGAGCTGGTGCCATGTTCTGGTCGACAAGTTCCGAGCCCGGTGTGCGCGGAGCTTCGGTCACTTTTTCGATACATGTTCGATCCAAAATGGCGGCGTGGGATACGTAATAATTCTTATAGTTTGTGGGGGGAAAAAAAGAAAAGAAAAGAAAAAAAATCAATATGAGGTACCTAACTTCTCGCATTTCAAAAGAAAACTCCAGACTTTCGTAAGTTTTTAAATCAATTTCTTATCCCGACGATCCCGGGTTCGCCAGACTGTTGGAAACCCTGAAGCGAGATGGTCCGAAGCGAAGATAGCGGAAATCCCGATTTTTGAGACGGATTTCCTGATGAGTTCTCCAATTTTTCAGGGTAATTTCTGTACTCTGATATTTTCGGTTTTTTGAGGGTCCTAAAAACCGAGAGCGAAAAGATAGGGATGGGAGGGGGGGGCGATACCTTCTTGAGTGGATTTAAAATCTGGAGAGATTCATCGGATGTTGGCTAACGAGGTCGTGCGACTCTTTCTCTATGTCGCTGAGAATTCAATGGCCTCAGATTAATAATCTGTTCATGACGATTCGACCAAAATTCGATTCATAGCAAGTTATTTTCACAGAACCACAAAATTCTGCGGTATGGTGTATTTTGAGAGCGGTCCCTTGTAACAGGCAACACCTGGTGGTGCTGAGCACATTTTGAATTTCCTACACTGGAAAAAAAAACACTTTGGATCTAGAGTCCAAACTCTTGAAGACATTGACAAGAAAAAGGATTCTTGATTCAATCAGATTTAAGCTTAAATCAAAAGGAAATCCGCTCTCAAATTAGGAGGCTTGGTCCTTGATTTAAGCTTAAATCTGATTGAATCAAGAGTATTTTTTCTTGTCGACGTTTTTAAGAGTCTGGACTCTAGATCCGATGTGTTTTTTTCCAGTGTAAGGTGGAATTCTTACGATTTTCACGGGGCTTGTGAAAGAACTTTCGCTCCCGAACACCGGGCGGGAAGGGGAGGGGGGCTCTCGCGGGAATCCACAATCCGCTCGCATTCTGGCACGGATGAGTCATGGGGCGCCCCGTACCCTTACCAGAACGGGGCCTGGGACAGTGGGGAGGGGGTACAGCTAGCTGCGGTCACGGCCCGACGCCCCCGGTGACGTCACTCAGCGCACCGACCGCCACCGGCCCAGTGACTCACCCCAACTCCCGCTCCGGAAATCGCGCACGCACCACGTACTGCGCACAGTGGGCTCTAGGCTGTTTCAAGTGTGTGCGAGGTGAATATCGCCATGCCTTTGCTGCTCTCTGGTTGGTTCGCCGTTTGCGGGTCTTTCATTGAGCTGAAAGGGCTTAATTTAAACGAACCCAACCTGAGCCAATCCATATTTAAATGTAGGAATGAATAACACAGGGTGTCTAGTATTTTTTAATTTTGAAAAATCCTGATATTTTCCCGATATTGTATAAAAAATTCCTGAATTTTTCATTTTGAAAATTCCTGATATTTTCCTGATTTTTCTCGACTCCTGGCACGGTAGGCAAAAAGCAGTAAGACTTCCTCCGCTGAGGAGATTCGCGTAAGAAAAATTCCTGATAAAACGTCCGATTCTTCCGATTTTCCTGATTTTTTCCTGATCGGCCAAAATTCCTGATACTTTCCGATTTTTCCTGATGCTTGACACCCTGTAACACTGTAGAAAAAGCGTAGTTCCCGACAAACATATCCAGGGTGTCTACTTAAACAGGCTGGCCAAACATCAGTTCTTTTACAGTACTTTTTCAGTACATTCCCTATAAATTCAGTACCTCCTCCACAGAAAAATTCAGTACTTTTTCAATGCCTCCATTTACGAAATTCGAAAAATTTCAAAAATTTAGATTTCTTGCTCAAATTGGTACAAGGAAATGAAAAAAATTCCGAACCGTCTTGCGGGATTACGCACTTTTTCAGTACTTCCGGACCGTCCTTAAAAAATCAGTACTATTTTCGGACTTTCCGTAAATTCCGGACCTGTAGACACCCTGATATCCACCGAAGTTGGTACTGTGCTCATTTCGGACCATTTACATGTAAAATTACTCATCACGTCTAAAACGATGCCACCTTCTCCTTGGTTTATATTCTGTGCTCAGGGCTCCGTGAAAGCCTAAACTCGCGCACCAATCAGCAGATGGCACAGTTTATATGTAAATATTTCTTCACAAATGATGATTACAGAAAACACTGTCCGACGGTTTGCAATCTTCCACGCAAAAGAAAACTCGAAAAATTCGAAAACGAAATCATCATAAGATAAATATACGATGGGGATACATGGATTCTTTCAGGAGCTCACCCTGTGAACGGGTTGAAAACTTGGATGTCCTCCCCTCTCCACTTCATTAGCTCACTGAGTTCATCAGACGAAAAAAGTGGAAAATTACCAAAATTACAAATGGCTGGATACGATCAGGAATGAAAAAATAGTCAAGCAAAGAAGGTATTCCATGGGCAGCTCTTGGTTCATATAACATAAAAAATCAGGCACTGTTTGAAAAATGCTCAAGCACTTTGCAAATTTTTTTTCATAATTTCTTCCTGGATGCACAGTTTTCTCCCTGTATCGTGATTATGGACTCTGGGGATTTCATATAGGTTTCTTTTTCTTCTGCTTCCTTTTAGGTATCATTCAGGGCCGGATTTAGGGGGTGGCCATATGGGCCGCGGCCCATGGCGGCAAATTTTGCACTTTTTTAAAGGTGGGTAAAAAAAAATCGGATAAAGAAAAAAAATTGCAAACGAGAAGAGGCGACAAAAACTCTAACTTCCTGAGAGTATAGTAATTTCTAATTTTGTCGTCTTTCGGTGATACAAGAGACATCACCTTTAATTAGTCGAGTTAAGAGAGAGACCAAACACGCAATTTGGCCTGAAATGGCGCGGTGCAGAGAGCAATGATGACGAGAACTTGAGATGAAAAGGAGAAGCCCTCAGCGCGGCGGTTGACATGAAACACATATTAGCGCCTACAAGATTGCATGAATACTCCCTGCATTACGTCAAATACAGAGCGGCCAGCAGCGGTCGACGCGAAACGCATAGCGCCTACAAGACTGCATGAATACTTCACGCATTGCGTCAAACACAGTGCGTTCAGCAGCGGTCGGCGAGAAACGCATAGCGCCTGCAAGACTGTGGGAATACTTCACGCATTGCGCAAAAACACAGTTCGGTTAGCGCGGTGCGGCGGAAGTTAAAATTATTAAACCATATTCATGTTTGTTCTTTCATAATTTTTTCGTTAATTTCTATTAAACCTAACTTTCCCGCAAAGATCCATGAACTTTTGCTAGTAGTATTGACAGGGCTTTTGCAAAAAGTGTGTCCAACACGAGTAAACACCCCTCCCCCACCGACACGTTCACTTGATGGTTTTTATTGATGTTTCAAAACGAATGAGAAGGGGGCGGCAAAATACAGGCGGCCCATGGGCGGCAAGTAGGTAAATCCGGCCCTGGCATCATTATTAACTCTCCATGCACAATAAGCATTTACTTATCACTGACAATTACTTATTGAAGGGTAAAATTCAAGTTTTCAAGCAATATCCAAAAAAAATCCAGAAAAAATCCGAGAAAATCCAAGTTTTCAACCCCTTCATATATTCAGGGTGAGTTCCTGAAAGAATCCAAGAATCACTATCGAGGAAGTAATTATGATGATTTCGTTAACACTCTCAATGCCTCAAGAAAAAAATTCAGAATCTGGCATTTTTTAAGGTTGCAATAACCATGCAGCTACAAAGAATTTTATTTTGAAGCAAGAACCCCCTCTAATGAAAGCTACACTAAAATATTCCTACTGTTTTATTTCTTCTACCTTTTGGTGCAGAAAACTTAAGAAAAATCTGTACCTACTAGGCAACCTTGCCAAGCTGAGAAAAATTTGTTTGACAGGTTACCAAATTAGAATAATTTTGAAGTGTGTCAATAATATCACAAAGCACTGAAAGAGTCAAATGAGTTTTGTCTTTTGCAGCTGGATACCAATTTCTGACACTTTGAAACAACCCATATACCACTACAAGTTGTACTAGTCGAGAAGAATAAGGTTGTGACTGGAAAAAAAAGAAAAGAGACTCACCATCATGGCTGCCGCCATCTTGACCATACTTGTCTGAAAGAATAAATAGATAAATAAGTAAATGAATAAAATCCAAGAATGAAGAGATCAATGAAGCTATTGAATTTCCTTGAGAACTGGTTGACATATGATGAGATCAGATGGGAAAAGTAGACATTGTAATGAAAAAAGGTTATAAAGGCAAAAAATAAAACTTAATCAAGCACGAGAAAAAAAATAATAAAAATTAAAAAAAAAACAACCCATATCAAGCCAATTTGTCAACTTAAAAACTTAAAGAATAACACAGAACTGTAAACTGTTTGTCTTTTTCAACCGGAATTGATAAATCTAAAATTGCAGTGCGCCGCAATTGGTTTTTGTTCAACTTTTTTTGCTTTATACGTGTAACTATCCATAAGTGTTATCCATTCATTTGGCCTGTTTTTTCTGGGTGAGACGGTTTTAAAAAGTCATAAGTATCTTATTAACACAAATTTCAAACAAGGTTACAGACGGGATCAAATTGAATTTTTGAATGATTAAAATTTTAGACCATTCTTACCTGACAAGTACCACACAAAATAATTCTGACAGAGGCCATAATCACACATGCTTAATGTTTGTTTGCCTACTTTATCATCAGAGTTTTCAAAAGGGAAATTAATTACCACTTCTTGTCACATATACTAGAAAGAGTCTATTCTTAAAACAAACATATTTGCAAGGAAACTCCTCTGGTGGGAATTTTTGAAAAATTTACTATTTCACACTTTGCGACAATGGATTTTACATTTACATAAAGTGATACTTGAGAAGCCAACAGTTAAATCAGAGAAGCAAGAAGCCCAATTACCCATGGAAATTTCATCGGGCTTTGATCAATGTCTGATAAATGTAGCAAAAACGTTAAAAAAATATTTGTGACTGGACCGATTACATACTGTAATATCAGTTGTTTCTGTGTCATGAAAAATGAAAAAGACAACTAGGTAGATAAGATTAATCAATTGCCTAAATTGCCTTGTCCTATTAGAGTGAGCCAAAACAATGCTTATGAAACAGAAAAGCAGTTGGAACCTAAATCTGGACAGGAGACAGCTTTTCAACTTGCTGTTTGTCATTTATGGAAACTCTGTCGAGACGGAGGGTGATGAATGACATAAATCTTTGAAGAGAGGAGGTGGAATTTAGAATAATTAGAAAGGAGGGGGGGGGGGGTTCGAAAGTCCTCTTCAGGAGAAATTTAGACACCCTTAATTTTATTTTCCTTCCACTGTAAAATATCACCCTTTTCTCTTTTTATTTTTGGGGTTCCAAGGGGAAGAAATTGCAAGAGGGTATAGATTCAATAGACATGAATCGATCAAAAAATGATTATATGAATCAATTGACAAATTATTAAAAAACCAATGTCAATTTAATTGACATGAATCGATCAAAAGACCAAAATTTGAACCGATCGACAACAGTGAATTGAACAACAAATCTGTGAGTCGAATGACAAACATGTACCTAGGTGGATCGAATTGGTGTCAATAGAATCATGTCGATCAGTTCACATTTTTGTTTTTTGATCAATTCATGTCAATCGAATCGACACTGACTTTCTTACATTAATTGTCCATCGCTTCATGTCAATGGCATCGACAGTGGGTTTTTTAAATTAATTGTCCATCGAATCGGTGTCGATCGATTCACGTTTTCACTTTTCGATCGATTCATGTAAACTGCATTATCATTCTCTGATTAGCACCCATTGAAACAATATTAAAATCTCCCTGTCAAGTATTTCAGTATTTGAAATTTTTTGAGCCCCCTTTGGGCTCAGAGATAAGCTGTTTTTCTTCCTCATAATGACCATCCCACACAGATCAGTCACTACACATCTATTTGAAATACACTCCTCTGCCTGGCTCTCATTCAACTGCACTTAAGTACTTAGTATCATCTAGCATTGGCTTCTCCTGAAAGAAATGCATTGCATTTAAGTTCACCACCACCAATTTGTAGTAGGATTTCCAAACTCGTCCGCAGGAATGACTGACCTGTGTGAATCGGATTTATTGCATACAGAATGCACTATTTTTTATTGGTTCCACATCCTGAACCAAGCTCAATGTGGAAATAATTATTATAAAATTTGTTGTTGTATTTTTCTGCATAAACCATGTCTCTCTATCTAGAACTGGGGAAAGAAAAGAAGAGACAAATGTCACACCCAAAAATTGCACCATTTAAGAAATATTTACATGCTAACCAATGGGCCAACTGATGATTGACGCATCCAGACTGATGTGACTTTTGCCTCTTCTTTTCTTTCCCCAGTTCTATCAAACATGAAACCCTGATTACCATCAAACTTCATTTCATCACTTTGGGCTGAAAGGTGCTTACATAAATTTTTCTGACAGTATGAAGTATTAAGGAAACTTGTTTTTCCTGTCATGAAACATGCAGTCAGGAATAAATGTGTAATTAAGTTACTACGTTTATACTAAGGACGGCAGATCTCCTGCCAAACACTGATTGGCATTTACTTATACAGCATGACATTCTAACAATAATTAAAGGAAAGAATGCTATCACTGGTGGGATAGGTACGCAAAGTTTAAAAGAGGCAGAAGATATTTATTTCAAACCGATTTTCAGTTGCTCCTACAATTGATCAAGGAAAACCACAAACAATAAAGCCGCTCCTTCCCTGTCAAATCTGGGAAATTGAAGTTCCTAGAGTTCCCTCTCCTTAATAATTGGGTCCTTAAGTACTATGTTTCATAGGTTGATGAAGAGAAGATTACGTCTGATGGTAAATTCAAACGTATTACTAATAATTAAAAGATCCTTATAAGTAACAGGAAAATAATATGCACAAACCATTCCTTTCTAATTAATACTCAACAAAGATTCCAGATGGTTGGTTTTGACTCATCATTGGACCATTTATGGCAATGAGAAGCGCATGTAGGTTAAAGTGTGAAGTTTGTTGAAGAAATCGGTCAGGGAAAATTTAAGAAAACAAATTGATGCAAGGCAGATTCGGCCACGGGGTATTCAGATCAGAGGGCCACAACATGAAAATGTTGAAGGCTGAAATAAGAGTGGTTCTCGACAAACAGAGGGAATGAATGTTCCTGCACAGAGGCTCAAATCTGAAGATATGTTGAGATGCTAGGGACGTTGACATTCACCTACTATCAGGGAATATTGGGAGTCGAGGAATTGAAATGAACAAAATCAATGGCCTGGATTCCAAGAGCAGCACCATTGAATCAATACTCACTTCACAGGGGCACCTTGAAAGGAACCTCGACAGATCATGGAAAGCCAAAGTGGCTTGGGGAAAAAGGCAGAAAAGTTCTTTTCCTAACCTTAACAACCGTAAAGAAACGTAAGTAGAACTGAGTCGTGATCCCTTAAATATGTTTGATGGGTACTGGTATCTGGGTAGAAACGGAAAATGTCTTCTACTTGAAGAAAATACTACATTGCAAGGAGAGTATTTTTGAGATAGCACTGACATAAGTAGAATGACTACCAACAGGCTAAAGAAAGGGCTGAGCTAATAGGTCCAGAGGAAAAAAGGGCGCGTAAGGGCTGTGAATAGGATTCACCATCAAGCACAAAGATGTCTCAAATCTTTTTATCCAGGAATAAAAAGTGGGTAGTAAATGCGTGTGAAAACTTCAGGCTATTATGAACAAACAAAACAAAGTATGTTGAATTTCTTCTTTGTTAATCCGTCAAGTAATCCAAAAATAGCCTGAACAGTCTAAAGCAAAATCTGAAGAATAGCGGTTAGGGAGGAGGATGCTGAATTTCGTGAAATGATAAGGAAATGAAGGACGAATCTACAAAGTGATAAGATGTGAAACTAAATGGAGATGAGAGTAAACATCAAATTGAAATTTTAGTTTTGAAAGGTGCAGAGTTCGCCATTTTGGATTTAGAATATGGAAAAAGAGGGGGTCAAAGAGTGCCAATGTAGCGATTTATACGGAGGAAAAGTTTTCCAAATGGATTTGCATCTTATTTACTAGAGAAATGAACATTTTGGTGAACTTACTTTGACCCTGAGGTGCTTCATCTCCGCTCTCTCGGTCCGACATATCCTAAACCAACTCAAAGATTTAACCCTAATTTTTCACCAAAATTGATACTGAACAACCGGAAATTCAGACTGCAAATGACAGAAAAAGTAGCTCCACAACCGAACACAGATTCGCCAAAGACGGACGCACTTTTCTCAAATCTCCGAATGAACTTGACGATTAAAGAACTGGTAAAGGTTTAGGGTTTTCAGAGTATCCCTGAAAAACCGCAAACCCGAATTACAGCTTGAAAAGGTACAGTGACGTAATACGAACGAATGTATTCCTGAGCGACGCTCGCTCAAAATGTATACCTAGCATAGATTTCTTTCTTGATCTAGAGGCGCCACTACTATAATGGTCGGAAAGGGCAGGACTGCTCTGACACGCGCCGTGCTATACTGCAACCGAGCTGTCTTTGTAGGTCAACCTATCCCACATAAATTGAAATAATGTAGTTAGCTCAATCAATCTGGCATGTTATTATTATGGTGGAAAATTTTTATCTGCGTTCCTCTCTGGATTTCTCTTCTCTTCCCAGATTTTACCTCTCACTTTGGCGTTCCTCTTCTTCTGGGTTTCATTTTCCACCTTCGATTTTCGGCATCCGATTCAGGCTTTCACTATTATTACTTCCGGATTTCACTTCTCATTTCCGATTTTCACTTCCTCTATCCGGTTTTTATTTTCCATTTCCGCTTTTTACTTTCCATTTGCGCTTTTTCCCTCTCGTTCCCGGTTTTTGCTTTTCACTCGCGCAGGGTCGGACTGGCTCGCATCTGAGGGCGTAGACCCTTGGCTAGTTATAGACAGGCCCGCCACATCCCATCTCGGGCCCTGGTACCAATTTTCTGGCCCGGGCCCCTAGCACAGGGGGGGGGGGGGGGGTCCGGGGGGCCTCCTCCGGGAAATTTTTGAAATTTTAAATCTATTTGGACGCATTATGAAGCTCTTATGATGGAGATTTTCCATCAATTTCTGCAGAATAATTACGCCTTTTTGTTTACTTTCAGCACCAAAAACTTTCGAATTGTTGCATTCAAAACATCTATAAATTTTTTTTTGAGGGGGCAGATGATAATTTTCAATTCTATGGGGAGCCGGGCCCCCCTGGACTCCCCTTTCGTACGTCTATGGCAAGGGAGTTAAGCCATTGAAGTCGAGGATGCCCAGAAAGGAGCCTCTTAGCATCCGACAACGGAAGAAAATGAAACACAGTTACTAAAAATATCATTCTACATGTACTCAAAATCTTGAAAATCTCTAAAAAAGTAAGAAAAATGTTATAGTGCCCTAGCATGTTTTTGAAACTTTATTCACCTTTTGCGGAATTTTTAGGGTAATTTTTTCACTTTTCCCTACGAGACAAGGGTTACACATGAATTCGTAGTGGTTTGTCACCTGCGTCACGGGCCCCTCCAGGGCCCGGGCTATAAAAGGACTCTAGCTAGTTAAAGGGGCGTAATGTGATATTTCCTGATGGGGCATCCCCTTCGTGGAGAGGGGTTCAGAAAATTTTGGCAAAGCAGCACAAGTTTACGCTATTTTCAGGTTCGAAGTTTATTAATCGTACAGAGTAAAAATTGTAAAACTGAACGTATTGAAGTGACCGACAGACTTCTGAAATTAAAGAAAACAAAAAAAATTAAAGCCACTGGACGCATCCAAGCACCATTATTTCCACAAGAACCGTGTCAGTGCTGCGGTTTACACGAGCTTAAGACGTGGGTCTAAAAATCCATCCTAAAAAAAAAAAAAAAGAATCAGGCAAGAACCTGAAAAAAGACGAAAGACGATTTTCAACACAGCCGACGACAAGAAAGACGTATTCGGGCCTCTTTTTTAACTTTTCTCCCGAATCTGAGCGACACCTCATTGGCAGCATACAGCAGGGCATTGAGAACTCACGCTTCGCGTCATCGCGCCTCCAATTTTTCAGATGCAGCACGGACGTCCATCAAGTACGAATAGTTGTATCTCTGCAGCGCCGTCGTTAAATACGCATCCTTTCCCTCTCTTTATTTCCATATTGTGTTTGTTTGCGTTCGTCTTATTCGTAATGGTGCTTCAAGCACTACGTGAATAACACAGCCGAAGGTAGGAGAGATGTGTTCGGGCCTCTTTTTAAACCTTTTTCCCGAATCTGAGCGACAGCTATTAGCAGCATTATATATATAGCATTATATATATTGGCAGCATTATATATATAGCATTATATATATTGGCAGCATATAGCAGAGCATTGAGAACTCACGCTTCGCGTCAGCGCCCCTTCAATTTTTCAGATGCAGCACGGACGTCCATCAAGTACGAATAGTTGTATCTCTGCGCCGTCGTTAACGCGCATCCTTTCCCTCGCTCTATTTCCATATTGTGTTTGTTTCCGTTTGTCTTATTTTTTGTAATGTTGCTTTCAACTAGAGCAGAGCATTGCGACTTCACGACTCACGCCATCGCGTCTTACATTTTTCACATGCAATGTGGACATCCATCATGCGAGAAAAGTTGTATCGCGTTTACACTTTAGAGATCTCTTACTTTTGAATTTCGAAATAAATTTAGTTTAAGTTTGCCCGAGATATGCCATGATATGTCCAAATCAATAGTCATTTTGAAAAGAAAGGAATATGTTTGAAGGTCTCTCATGAGGTCTATAAAGTGTGCGTATGTCTAAAAACCGAACCGGCTATCGTTTCTACGGGAGTTACACATAGAGAATGAAGAAGGGGGATGATAAAGCGCCTGTATGTCAACAAAAAGGTGACAATTTAACAGAAAAGTGTTTACGCTTCAGAGAGTAGTTCTTGGACCTCTGTTCACCACTATGCGTAAAAGCATCTCTTTTTACTCCTAACTCTCTCTTCTTCCGTTCATTTAAAAAATTTTCCGCATGTATTCTCGGTCGTAATTTTTTTTTCTCTTCTTATTTTGCTATCTGTCAGAGGAGCGCGTTTTTGGCGCGCCAAGGGGGCGTATCTGCCAATGGCAGATTGGCCTTATGGCCAGTCCGAGCCTGCACCCGCGGCTTTCCCTTCAACCTCGAATTTGAAATTTCTATTTCCGGTCCACCTTCGACTTTTACTGCCGATTCTCACCTCTTTTCACTCCCTTTAGCCTGTTATTACTTTCCACTTTCGATTATCAACTTTTTTTTCAGGTCACTTTTAACTTCCGGTTTTCTTTTCCATTCCCGGTTTTTATTACTTCCACCATTTGGATCTGCTCGTCAACTTCCGGTTTTCACTTCCTATTACTGGTTCTCACCTTCAATTTCCGGTTTTCACTGCCCTTTGCTAGTTTTCACTTCCGTTTTCAAGTTTTCACTTTCCATTGCCAGTTTTCTCTTCCGCTCTGAGGTTTAACTTCCCATTTCCGGTTTTTCCCAACCATCTCCAGTTTCCACTTCCCAATACCGATTTTCACTAATTTTTACCTCCCTTCTTCGGTTTTCACCTCCGTCTCCGTTTTCACCTCCTTCTCCGGTTTGCACCTCCCTTCTCCGGTTTCCCTGGTAAAAATTGGCAGTAGAATCTGTGTTCCAAAATACCATAGACCTACAGCCGGCTGTAAGATTTCCAATAGCTTCTATAGCCGGCTACACAATTTCTCATAGCCTTTTATAGCCGATGGCGATTAAGCAAAAGTCAGGCGATAAAGTGTATGGTAAACGTTACTAATTACGGATGCTAGGATTTAGTGTGTTTTTGGAATACTGCTCTCTTTTTGGGCCGTAGTATCTTGATTTATTTTGCGAGGAAAGCTTCGTACTTTTGATGGATGCCTGCCATTATTATTATATTATAGCGCCTTCAGTTTCGTATGATACTATACAATACCTTTGGTGTGAAATAGTTGCTTCAAGCGCCGTGGCACGGTGCGGCGCGGCAGGCGGGCAGCCAGCGCGACACACGCATTGGCGCCTACAAACCTAACAGGGATACTTCACGCGTTGCGCAATGCGTGAAGTATCCCTGTTAGGTTTGTAGGCGCCAGTGCGTCCGTCGCCGCCGCTCCGCTTTGTGTTAGGCTCTAATATTTAATCTGGCGGAGTCAGCATTATTCAACTCATGATTTTGACATTTTTGCACATCCTGTATGGGTTATTCTCATTTTAATTGATGAAAAAAAAATATGTATTAAGAGAAAATATAATGAGTGTTTTGTAAATATTAAGGTGGTTCCGTATCAAACTTAATGATTTCCAAAGCACACGAATTTCTGAACAATTTCTTATAGCCTATCATAATCGATGGCGAAAAAGCAACAACCAGGCGATAAAGTGTAAAGCCCGGCGATAGGAACTATAGCCCTGCTGCATAATTTTTTGATTTTCTCCGCATTCTACAGCCAGCTATATGATTTTCCGTAGCCTTCTTTAGCCGGCTAAAAGAATCCCTATGGTATCTTGAAACGCAGCTCTTATCGCCAATTTTTACCAGGGTTTCACTTTCGACCCATGCCGCAATCACACGCTGAATTTGGCAGCTGATTGTGGCAGTCATCAGTCAGCGCCCAACAGCTGAAATTTCACTAATTCGAGTTATTTTCATCCAAATGTGTATCAAATCTATTGGAGTAGTTCAGAAAAATCCGACATTGTCCGATGGTCGCTGAGAATCGTTGCTGAGTTTTGCGCGTCACGCACAAAATTCAGGCATCGGGCCGACGACTTCCACATTCAAGCCACATTCTAGCCCCTACAAACTAAATTTCATGGGCCGCAATAACTTGAATGCCTTGATTACCGAGACGAGAGTGCCAGGGCGGACGAAGCTCAAATATTGCTAAAGTGAAGGTGCATCATACTTAGTCAAGTAACTTCAAAAACACGAATGTTTAAATT